ACATCTCTGATTACCCTGCTTTCTAACTTTGCCTAGGTGACTGTCCCGCTCAGTGTTTTTGACTTCTCTGTCTCTGACTAACCTTCCTCTCTCTCTGCCTATTGCATGTGTCTCTATGACTATGTGTGTAGCTGTCTTTGAACGCCTCTCTTGGATTCTGCCTTTCTGTCTCTCCCCGTTATCCACCTCATTTTCAATACATTCTTGCATTTAATTTTCCTTTTAATATGTATAAACAAGCAGAGCTGGTTTTATTAACCCTATTTTAAAGATAAGAAAACAGAAACAGGATTACTGGCATAAAATTTGAGAAGTCAGGATGTAAATCCAAGTGCTTCCCTTCTTTCTTTACTACTCTTCTGGTATTCCATGGCAAAGAACTTGAAACAGCACAACTGCAAGCCAATAGTAACACTACACACATTCAGACTCTTTTCTAAGAGACAAATATGATATTAAGGAGTGCTACACACCTTTTGCCCACATTATTCACTCTGCACAGGTTAAATGGTCATGAACTGTCAGCCATCTGCCTATCCCAGAAATCCGTATCATCATGTTCAGTTTGACCTATGTTATTTGGAAACCTCATGATACTAGACACTAGAATCTATTTTCCAACAGTGCTTTTCCTTCTTCTGTTTTTATCCCTAGTCCCAACCCAGCCACATTTGGCATTTAAAAAAAAAAAAAGAAGAAGGACAACAAATACTAATAAAACTGAAGGGTGAATTTGAAGAATGAAAAACTATACAGAAGGCTAGCATGAGACAGTGAAAAATGGACACCAAAACTCAAAGCAATTGGTCCATGTTTTATTAAGAGAAAAGAAAATTCTCTCCAAATGCAGGCTTACTACTGCTGAGTAACACCCTATAACTTTTCCTCTATCTAATGCTTTGACAACTGGAATTTCTCTGTAATTCAATAAGCTCTTGGGAGTTCCCCAAGCTTCATCCATCCTGCTGGGCTCATTACTGGATAATTCTAAATGTTTTCTGCACTAGCTAAGAGCACATTTTCTTGTGGGTAGCACAACAGAAGGAGGGTACTCTTTCAAGACATGAATAGCCTAGTTCCATTTCTTCTCACTTCTCCTATAGGTGAGAAGTCTACAACAAATATAATTCAACAACTAAAAGAAATGTCTAAATTATAAACTTAGGTTAGTGGAGTTGTCAAAGATCATCCTACAGGTCACAAGTTTCATACACAGTGTGAGGGCTAATCAAATATTTACATAAGCTAATGAAAAATCTATACTTTTGCTTCTGGCACTAGTTCATTTACTTATGTCTAATGAGTTGCATGAGGGCCAAATAAAAAATATACCAGCCTTTTCTTTCATTCTGGTGAGATTATTTGTGAATAGTTAGCTTATGGAGCTAATGAGGACAAGGTCACAGACTCAAACTCCATGCTGGCCAATTAGCTTTGCTGTGTGTTTCTAGGTTCCATGGTCACAGTCAACAACCTTAACCTTGGCTAAGAAACATACTGCTCATTGAAGCATTAGGGGAATGAATATAGATGTATCAACAAAATCCATACCTTTCAGAAAAAATAATACAAAATAGTAATAACACCACCACTCCAATCTCTAATATTATACTAAACCTGACTAATATGTGCCTCATTCAAACAATCTTTAATCTTTTCAACCATGCAGGGTTAGTCTAATCTGTCTTACAGATGATGAGAAACTCAATTCAGAATGATCGTATGAACCAAAGTTACATCTAGTGAGCCTGGATTCAGACCTTGGTCTGTCTTGACTCCAAAGCATAGGTTACTGCCACAATGCTACACGGCCTCTCCAGAGCACCTCAGTGACCTAGGACGATCAACAAAATGTTCCTATTCAGAACTAGTCAGCACACTCATTACTGAGCATCCACTATGCATACTCACACACTATAGCTGAGAATTAGTATACTTTCCAAAAATTCCTTTTAAGTAAAAAACAGTCAAGGAACAAAAGTGTTGAAATGATTTTTGTTGTTGTTGTTAATTTTTTTATAGAGATGAAGTCTCGCTTTGTTGCCCAGGCTGGTCTCGAACTCCTGGCCTCAAATGAGCCTACCTCAAAGGATCTCAAAGTGCTGGAATTACAGGAATGAGCTATTACGCCCCAACTAAAAGTGTTTAAGATTAAAACATAAAGGAAAAAATGACACATAGCATACAAAGTAGATTTTAATGGAAGTGACTTTCTATTGTCATAGCTTTGTATACAAGTCTGGTGTGAAAAAATAGTTATCTTGCTGATTCGTAACTAAAGGTAGAAAGAAGCTGGCAAAACATAGCACAGGCATACCACATCAAAAAAAGAGAGTAAAGGAAACATTTCCTAAGTATCTGAATCTGCAGATATCTGGTAGTCAATATGGCACTTGAAGGAAGTAAAAAATACATACTTAAGACTTTGCCTTGACCAACAAACCATTTTTCTCTATAAGGCTTTCCTCCTTGGTTTTTCTCAACTCTCACTCCCTGCAGATACACACATACCAATGCCATCATCAGCATCGGTCACTAAGAAATGCCATCTTGAAAAAATGAAGGTCACCAAGTCTCCCAAACTCTACCCAACAGGCTTAAATTTTAAAGTCAAATAGTCTGGCTTAAAAAAAATAAAAATAAGGCAGGAAGAAAAAACTGTTCCATAAACGTCTATCCTAGTCAATATCTGAGTCATAAAGATAGATAATTGTTCTGCCAAAAGCTACAACGTACAGAAGTGCATTCTTACCACAGGTTGTAAATGAAGCACCAGTTCAATTTCAACAAACAAGGTACAAATCAACATTTGGAATCTCTGGAAAAACAGAAACACAGCAAAGCCCAATAACCCTGCACAACAGCATTTTAGGAACCTCTAAAATTGAAAAAAATCTAATATAATTTTTATATAAAATGCAATTGCTAAAAAACAAACTGCAATCTGAGAACTTCTATTTAGAGTATTTTGTAAAGTTTGTGAATTAAGGATGACTATCCTCATTTTACAGATAAATGGAATTTCAGCAAAATACCTAAAATTATCATCACTATTATCATAATCATCAACAATAGCAACAAAATAATAAGAACTTTATTTGTACCCAGCACTACTAAGCCATTTATGGTCACATCTCATTTCATCTTTGTAGACACCTTGTGACATGTTATTTACCTCCATTTTAGAGATTAGGAAACAGGCTCGGAGAAGTCAACTAATTGGCCCAAAATCAAAAACTACAGGTTGAGAATCCCTAATCGGAAAATCCGAAATCCAGAATGCCTAAAAACTTTTCTTTTTTTTTTTTTTTTTTTCTTTTTTTTTTTTTTTTTGAGACGGGAGTCTTGCTCTGTCGCCACGCTGGAGCGCAGTGGCGCAATCTCAGCTCACTGCAACCTCTGCCTCCCGGGTTCAAGCGATTCCCATACCTTAGCCTCCTGAGGAGCTGGGATTACAGGCACACGCCACCACGCCCGGCTAAGTTTTTTGTAGTTTAGTAGAGACGGGGTTTCACCATGTTGGCCAGGATAGTCTCCATCTTTTGACCTCGTGATCTGCCCGCCTCGGCCTCCCAAAGTGCCAGGATTACAGGCGTGAGCCACCGCGCTCAGCCCCAAAAACTTTTTGACACCACCAGTGGAAAATTCCACACATGACCTTATGTGACAGGTCTTAGTCAAAATGAAATCCAAACTTAGTGCCATGCCCAGCAGGGTCTCACTCTATCGGCCAGGCCGGAGTGCAAAGGCGCAATCTCCGCTCACTGCAACCTCCACCTCCAGGACTCAAGCGATTCTCATGCCTTAGCCTCCAGAGTAGCTGGGACTACAGGTGTGCACCACTACACCTGGTTAATTTTTTGTATTTTTAATAGAGGTGGGGTTTCGCTTTGTTGCCCAGGCTGGTCTTGAACTCCTGAGCTCAGGCAATCTGCCTGCCTCAGCCTCCCAAAGTGCTAGGATTACAGGCGTGAGGCACAGCGTCTGGACACAAATTATTAAATTATTAAAAATACTATATAAAATTACCTTCAGGCTACGTATATAAGGTATATATAAAACCTAAATGAATTTCATGTTTAGATTGGTGTCCCATCCCAAAGGGATCTATGTATATGCAAATATTCCAAAATCCGAAATTTGAAACATTCTGGTCCCAAGCGTTTCAGATAAGGATACTCCAACCTGCAGTAAGACATAGCACTAGGATTTGAACTCAAATTTGCTCGAGTTTGTACAGTAAGCTAATGCAACTTACTGTCATCCTCTCGTTTTCTGGACCATTTTCAAGTATTCTTCAATCAATAAATTCAGAATAAACACAGGCTAAAAGTATCTAACTACACTCTTTCACCCCTTTACAACTTAATTGCAGAGGTCGGGCACAGTGGGCACAGTGGCAAACGCCTGTAATACCAACACTTTGGGAGGCCGAGGTGGGAGGATCATTTGAGCCCAGGAATTAGACCAGCCTGGACAACACAGTGAAATCCTAATTCTACCAAAAAAAAAAAACTGATTGCAGAATTACCATTCTATATAAGTGGAAAAAATAAGACAATAAGCAACTTGCTTAGTCTCAAAGCTTAACGTCAAAAAAAAATGAAACAGATGGAATATTTGTCTATTTATATTCTGAATTTCAACTGTGACACAAGACACAAGACCTGCTGGGGACAGGTATTAGTTGTAGCACCACCCTATCTGAGGAACGTTTACTGCTTTATGCTTGCACCTGTGTGATACTGAAGGGAGGTTATAACAGCAAGAGACAGGCAGTTGTGTGTGCTGAGGAAGAGTTTAAATTCTGGTGGGCCTTAAAATCCAGAAGTTTTAAATTGACTCCACAGGTGGTAACGCCCTAAGGTCACCTCTTCACGAGGAACCTGGCATAAAAACATTTGCATGGTTCAGATTCGTTTCCAAAGACACTTTCCCCCTATTTCTTAACTAATTTGATCTTCGTATAGACATGAACCTGGTTTTAAAACTCAACTGACCTAGACTGGAGACGGGGGGATGGCAAGGTTATACCCGAAACACGCTTTAGAGTTCAAAGCTTTTGAAGGAATATCACTTCTGCTGAAGCCCACAACCCTGGAAGGCAGCAGGGGAAAGAACATTATCCCCACTTTTCAGACAAGGAAACTGAGGCTGGCGTAAACAGACTGCTGTACAATAGATCACAGGTCCAGCCAAGTGGTCGGACTGAGACTTCTCCCAGGATATCAGACTCCAAATCCTGTGCTCCTTCCCGTAAACAACCGAGAGGCGGCTGCACGGACAAACTTTAAAGACCGGACTTGGGATTTTTCGAAGGCCTGCCAAGAAAAAGCAGGAAGTACCTGCTCCTTTATAGATTGCTCACTCCCAGCCCGTAGCCCGGGGCTCCCGGGCAGCGGAGAAGACTCAAATGCGAAGCTCGAAGCGAAGCCCGGAAACCGCCAGCAGCCCCGGGGTCGTCTCGGGGGCAGCCTCGGCGGCCCACGCCCCCGCCACCCCGAGGGGGTCGCCAGGGACTCCGCTCAATGCCTGCTGAAACCCAGAAAAAGCACGTCCTCTCCGCCAGGAGCATTTGGGGCGAGCGCCCAAAGCGAGCACGAGCCCGGGTGAAGGCAAAAGAGCCCCAAGAGGGTGCCTCTCAACCGCGGGCCCGCAGGGGTCGGAAGGCGGGAGCTTCCCAGTAACCTCCGCCCCAGGCGGGGGGCGGCCCCTCGCGTCACAAGGGGGAAAAAAAATACCAGCAACAAACGAAGGAATGGAAGTCTTGTCCCAGGCTGTGAAGAGAGAAGCGGAGATTAAAAGTCCTAGCTTGGGGTACTGAGGGAAGGGATCTGGGGATGGTTGTTACCCGCGCGCTGTCGCTCTCCGCTTCCGCCGTCTCCGCGAAGCTCTATCTCTTCCGCTCGCGCCGCTGGGGCGCGCGCCAGGCCTCGGCTCCGCCCCCCAGCGCCGCGGGGCCTTCTGGGGGTTGTAGTTTCCGCGAGGCCCGGCTGCGCCCACTGAGTTCAGGTCACGTGGGGAGAAGCTGGAAAAATGGCGAGTGCAGGAGGGCGTTTACGCTCCTGTCCCTTCAACCCTCCCTCATTCCTCTCAGCTATATACGTGCTCAAATCTCCTCACATCCCACTTAGTCATACCATCTCACTTATTCCGTTCACAGCCAAGTTTCTTGAAAAAGATAATCTACACTCTGTCTCTGCTCATCTTGTTCACTCCACACTGCAGCTTCCGCTCCCATTGAAAATGTCTCCTTGTCCTAAGTGTCCTTGTTTCCAAACTGATTGGAGGTATTTTCGGACTCATCTAACTCAAGCTTTAGTCATTTGACGCTATTGGGCATTATCACTTATTTTCTATGACACTATCCAGGTTTTCCTTCTCTCAATTCATTCTACTCGGTTTCCTTCAAGAATTGTTGTTATAACTTACCTCTAAAATACTGGTGTTTTCCAGAGTTCTTAAAATTGGGGTGGGAGAAGGGACACTCCAGCCCCTTCTCACCTGAGCTCATTGTTTGTATTCTCAACTTCCTAGACAGACCTTTCCTCATCCATGCCCACAGGTATCTCAAATGTCTTTGAAAAGTGAACTACTGGGGCCAGGAACAGTGACTCCCACCTGTAATCCCAGCACTTTGGGAGGCCGAGGCAGGTGGATCACTTGCGGTCAGGAGTTCGAGACCAGCCTGACCAACAGGTCTCTACTAAAAGTACAAAAATTAGCTGTGTGTGGTGGTGGGCACCTGTAATCCCAGCTACCCAGGAGGCTGAGGCAGGAGAATTGCTTGAAGGAGAATTGCTTGAACCTGGGAGGTGGAGGTTGCAGTAAGCCAAGATTGCGCCACTGCACTCCAGCCGCCTGGGTGACACAGGGAGACTCCGTCTTCAAAAAAAAAAAAAGAAAAGAAAAGTGAACTACTATTCCTCCTCCCTACTCACTAATATTCACTTTTTAACCCGATTCCTCCTTTCTCACTTCCTCTTCCTCCTATATTCAAATAGTCACCAAATCTCGTAGATTCTATCTCCCAAGTACACCTTGAATCTGTTCCTTCTTCAGGACTCTTAACTCATGACTCAGCTGCTCCTGTGGCCCCACCCAGAGGGGACTCAGAGCATGAGGACTGTTTTCCACACCCCTATGATTTCATCCCCAACCCATCAGCAGCACCCATTCTCTAGCCCCCTGCCCACCAAAATGTCCATAAAAACCCTAACCTCTGAACCTTCAAGGAGATTGATTTAAGTGATAACTCTTCATCAGTTAAATTCTTTACTGCTCTGCCATGGTCTCAGTGAATTGGTTTTGTCTGTGCAGTGGGCAGGAAAAACTCACCAGGCAGTCAGAATCCGGTATTGTGATTGGGAGGTTCAGTGAAGGAAGATTTCTAGCAAATCTTATTGTAGGGTAGGTGGACATGGGCATTATTTTAAAAGTTCCTGAGGAGGCCCACTGTGGTGGCTCATGCCTGTAATCCCAGCAATTTGGGAGACTGAGGTGGGAGCATTGCTTGAACCCAGGAGGTCAAGACCAGCCTAGATAAGGAGATCTCATCTCTACCAAAAAAATTTTTTTTAATTAGCCAGGCATGGTGGCACAAGCCTGGAAGGTTTGGAAGGCTGAGGTGCAGAGATTGCTTGAACCCAAGAATTCAAAGTTATGATGGGCCATGATTGTGCCACTGCCCTCCAGCCTGAGTAATCCTGTCTCAAAAAAAAGAAAATTAAATATAAAATAAAGTTCCCTGGTTATTCAATTATTCAACAAAATATGTTTTGTTGCTTACTATGTACCAGTGCTGGGTACTGAGAAAACAACAGTGAACAGAATATTACCTGGCCTTGTGGAGTTTACATTCTCTTTGAAGAGACAGATATTAATCAAATCATTCCATACCAAAAATCAAAACCAACAAAAAACCCACAGTTGCCAGCTGTAATAAGAATTATGGAGGAAAAGTATTGTAATTGGTCCCTTTCCCCTTCTCTCCCACCTGCCCCAGCCCAGATTGGGAATCAGTTTATGTTTCTTACCCTGTCAAACAAAGCCTGTCAGGAGCTAATCTCCTCCTACCCCCTCCCATGGACACCTTAGATTTACCAAACTGCTGTGGCACTTGCTCTTTAACCTTTGCATAAGCCGTCCCTCTGTTTGGAAAACCCTCTCTCTTCTTCCTTTACTAACTTATACTGCTGTCTAATTCTCCTCTATGGGATTCAGAGGAAACCCAGTAGAACACCAGCCACATGAAAGGATTTTCTGAGGATTGTGCTGAGTCAGATGATAAGCCTCAGGCACTAAAGCAGTGGGGTCAGTAGGGGACCCAGAAACAGTGAAATGTGGCCTACAGGGACCTGGACTATGTTATCCAGTTTAGAGGTATCAGGCCAAAGCCAACATACCCACCCTTCAAAACACAAATCAAGTATCATCTCCTCCAGGAAGCCTTTGCTGAACTCTGCCCCCGACCCCCACCAAGACAAATTAGTGCCCCTTTTCTAGACACTCATCCCACCATGTTGGCCTCTCTTCCAGTGATATGCTAGAGCCAGCTCATACCAGCTTTGTTATTTATTATTTATTCATTTAAGTTTTTAATAGAGATGAGTTATCACTCTGTTGCCCAGGCTGGTCTCGAACTCCTGGGCTGAAGCAGTTCTCGCACCTTGGCCTCCCAAAGTGCTGAGATTATAGGCATGAGCCACCACCCCCACCCAGCCTCATACCAGCTTTAAAGAGACAACTGTTAGATGTTCAGGAATTTTTGCAAGCCGGTTTAAGCCATTGGTAGTTTGAAATCTGCTGTGATTTGTAATATGTGTATGTGTGTGAATACTCCATGGAAATCAGCAAATGACAAATCAGGGCTTCTTTTTGTTGTTGTTGCTGTTGAAGAGCCAGTTTACTAGCATATCAATGCCTTTGTCATATCACACATCTACATTATATTGTAATGTCCACTCCCCAATTAGAAGAATTCCTTGGGTCAACTTCATTTAGCAAATATGTATTAATTTTTATTACCATGCACCAGAGACTTAGCAAGGTGATGAGAGGGCACACGGTGGAGAACACACAAGCATGGTCCCTACTGTAATGGAGCTTACAATCTAGCAGATAAGACAAGAAATAAGCAAAGAACTGTGTACTTTCAAACGGAGCAAGGCTGCTGTGCAGTAGAACATCCTGGCCATGAATGACAGTTGATATGGTTTGGATTTGTGTCCCAATCCAAATCTTATGTTGAATTGTAATCGCCAGTGTTGGACATGGGGCCTGGTGATTGGATCATGTGGGTGTATTTCTCCCTTGCTGTTCTCGTGACAGTGAGTTCTCATGAGATCTGATGGTTTAAAAGTGTGCGGCACTTCCCTCTCTCTTTCTTTCTCTTACTCCAGCCATGTAGGATGCACCTGCTTTCCCTTCACCTTCTGCCATCATTGTAAGTTTCTCCTGAGGCCTCTTTGGCCATGCTTCCTGCGGAGCCTGCAGAACCATGAGACAATTAAACCTCTTTTCTTTATAAATTACCCAGTCTCAGGTAGTTCTTTATAGGAATGCAAGAACCAATGACTACGGTGGTGGACATAAAATACTACACTACTTTAACAAGATGGTCTAAGGAGACCTCTCTGAGTAGACAACCCTTCCACTGAGCATGGAAGGATGAGAAAGAGACGGAGAACCGGGGACAGTGTGCTCCAGCCAAAGGGATCGGACCACACAAAGAAAGAGCCAGGCTGCTTAAGAGACAGAATGGTCCATTTTCCTGGAGTAGAGAGAGTATGGGTTGAGTGGTCTAGATGACCTGAGGTGGTAATTAGAGCCAGGGATGCACATCCTCAAGGCCATGGTAAGAACCCTGGATTAAATTATAGCCATCAAGAAAAGGGGGTTTTAGAAAGGGGATGATGTTATCTGATTCACATTTTAATACAATTGCTCTTGCTTTGGTTTAGAAGACTGGAATAGAAGTGGGAGCCCATCTGTTGCAGTAGGCTAGGTGAGAAATAATGAAACAAAATGCTTGCAGTGGGGAGAAGTGGGTGGATTTGATCTTTTGAGTCAACAGGATTTGCTGATGGATTGAATATAGGGGAGGATGGACTGGTGAAGGAAAAAGAGGACCCAAGGGCACTAATAGGTTATATCCATCTCTGTATCTTCAGCCCCTAGAATTGGGCCTTGCACATAGTAGGTATACTACAACTGTGTTGAATAAACTTATCCATTTTACGTGCTAAATTCTGTGCCCCATCACTGTCACATTCCTTAATACAAGGCCTCTGCTAGTCCATATAGTAGTGTTATGAAAATTAGGAAAAAGTGTGCCCTTCCTCCAGATGGTTGTGGCCCATCATCAGGGTGCAGAATATGGACTAGATTTCAGCTACCACTTACCCCCTTGGCTGGTGCCCTTGTGCAGTGCACAGTCTGCACAGCCACATTCAGCAGCCCCGGCTTAACATCCCTGGGAGATGGTTTTGTGGCATTAAGCCCAGTATTTATGAGGAGAATTTGAGGTCCAGGGGAAGGAAGCTGCTTGCCTGGGGTCACCAGAGCTACTCAGAGCTGCCGCTATGACTGAGATTCAAACCTCTGCCCTCTGAATCTCTATGGGCTCTTTAGCCTCGGAGCCACACTGTCTCTCCCAAATCACTCAGCCCATCAATAAAACACTAAATTCAAAATGGTGACTTTACTTCCTCGAGTTTCTCATCTGTCTCAGTTACTATTGTTAGAGTAATTCACATTTACATAGTATCCAATATGTGCTCAGTGCCTTACAAAATACAATAAAGGAACATGAAACCAAAGGACCTTGTGTTTTTTT